ACTGATAAATTTCTCTCATGATATTCCCTGACCACTGGAAGTCTTTTCTCAAATCTCTAATACTTTGTTTCTTAACATTCTTTGATGAACAGACAGACGTGCACAAGATGATGCAAGGAAAATTCTAGAGGGAAAGACAATAGCTGGATGGCAGTTTTTTGTGGGGAAAAATCTAAAGACCGTTGTTAACACTGAGGGATATTTCAGTTAAGGCTCATACTGTTTGTCATATTCTTACTTTGATGTTTATGCTGCCCTATCCCTAAAGGGTATTAAATATCTCAAAATATATCTCAAGATAACCCTAGTCAGATCAGTGCTGAGCTCCGGCTCAAATAACCTTGAGATAGAAGCCCTATTCAGGTGTTCAGTAACCATGGATACCAAACACATGAAGGGGCTAACAGGAATAGAGGTCTGTGTGTGCCATCACAGACCTCTCATCAATGTATGTTTAACACCAGTTTGAAGGTAGTTGTATGCACGTACTCAGGACTTCCCTCACATCAAGGGGAGTCTCTGACAGCTGTCCTCAAATGCGGTTCATCTCTTAAGCCACAGTGATTTAGTGTGCTGCCCAAATCCAGGATGGTTTCGTCAGTCTGACTTCATAAACTACCCCCCGCAAGCCATGGTCTGTTGCAGGGTCTATTTGTCCCACAGTGGTTTGCCATGGCATTTGAGCCCAGGCGGCATGACCACTGCAACACCACTTCCAAGAAGCTCCCATGACCACCTCCCAGCATAGCCAGCCCTTTCCAGTGGGCATGGTGGCAGGCGGCAACCATTGCTTCAGCCTATTAGTAGGTAGGCTGAAGCAACGGGCACTCCCGTCCCCCTTCTCAACATCACTGTCAAGCAGTAGCAGAAATCTCAGTGTTCCCATGGTGCCCCTGGGATACCTACAGGAGACCAAGGCGGAAGAGGAACCGTAACCCCAGTATGCCCAATCATCTTTCTACACAGCTTTCCACACAGTGAAGCTTATCATGTTGTGTGACCCCTCCAAGTCAGTCTCCCATGCTCTCTTCTCTGAAGGAGACTTTTAATTTTACATTTGGCTGGAACTTGAGCTCTTACTTCCTGGGAAGCCAAAACCCCACTGCAACACACAAGCCCCTTGCCTGGAATTTCAGACCATAGGTGGAATAACTGCTTCCCCTCCACTTGCCATGACTATGACAAGTGAAGCCAGCAACACAGCTGTGTTGCCTGGGGAAAGGGGGTGTTATCTTTAGGGTCCACCAGAAAATCATGTGGATTGTTTGCAGCTGGGACAAGAAATGAGAAAAGGGAAGATTTGCCTCCAAGCATTTCAAAGCAGGCACACTAGGCCAAAGACTTCTCTGGAGCCCCTTCTATGCTTAGGAGAACACAGAGAGACAACTATTTGCCTTTTCAGAACTGAGCTGAAGTGGGGTCTTGCAAGCTTCAGCAACAATTACTCATGGAGGCAAATTAGCTCCATTAGGGTTACCTTTCATATGTCACTCTCCTGCCCCATGCAAGAAAAAAATAAGATTCAGAACTGTAGGAAGTCCCACTTTGCATTCTGAACAAAATGCAGAATGTATTCCTTTATCCAGAAAGCTCCTTCCATCTCCTGCATTCAGTGTCTCTATCGTTCAATTATTCACAGCAACCCGGGCTGTTAATTACACAGTCCCAAGTTGCTAAGTAAGAAAACTGGTGCTTAATTAGCCAGCAGGAAAGATTGATTTGGATACAGCACGGGCATCACACAATGTTCTTCTGCAGGGGATACCCGGCTGTGACCTTACGAAGGATAAAACTCTCTACCCAGTTGAGTGAACTCAAAGGTGGAGTCTAAAAAAAGATGTTTGGACTAGCCAATTGACACCACCAGGGTGTTAACCCATCAATAATTGTATTATCCGAAAAAGGAGGGTGTATGCACACAGTAAAGGCATCTTTACCATGGACAAGTGCAAATTTTAGGAACCTTATCCACACAGTAATTCCACAGGACACTGTGCACTGGATTCAAAAGTTATGTCTGTGCTCTCACTAAATGCAATGCAGAGAAGGCGGAGGACCAGCAGAGGGTATGTTGCCATATTAATGATCAGAGCACAAGCATTGCAGGCATAAGATTTCCTATTCCACAGATACAAACTTAGATCTAGGTCTGATCCATCTAAGGCTGGGTGCCATAGTTCTTTCACTCAAGGTCGAATTTCATTTCAGAAATCTCAAGGGGCCATATTCCAAAGGCCAAAGGCAAGAGGACAGGTCCAAAAAGCTGTATTTTTTAGTTTAAAGCTCTTAATCCCAATAGCTAATATTAGGAAAGCTATTTCAGCCTTTTAGAGTCAAGAGAAAAAAGCTGTGCAAAAGCTGAGACACCAAAAAGAAGCAGCTGTTAGAGGGAAGATTACCAGGAAAGGAAGTGTGAACATCTGGGTTGATTGGGGTGCTGAACATCAGGACTGTTAATCAATAAATACACCTTCCCATTTCTCATATATTACCACACCACTGAATGCAATCATTTCTCTCTCTAAGTACACCTTCCAATAAGGAAAAACTATACATTGTTTTTAATTTTTAAAATGGTAAGTGCCAGGGAATCAAACCTGACAAGAAATTACACTGTCTCAGTCCATGACCCACTTTCCCTATTGTCAAACATGTGCAAAATACTTGTTATTCAGACACACTCTCATTTTACTCACATTCATTCACATAGAAGATTTCTGGTATCTCTACTTTGTGCATGGATATTAGTTTAAGAAGATTTACCCAATCTGATGCATACATAGGTCTACTCAAAATCACACACACTCAGCTACTTTCCCATCTTCAAGGGAAATGATGTAAGCTTCTCTCCCTCACCTGTGCACTTTATCTAATTTCTCGTAGCCTGAAATATGACTGGAACTGCTCAATACACAAAGAGCAATAGATGCAAAATATAAACAAGTCTGCTTAATTTGCATAGCTTATATGGGCTGTACAATTTATCTGTTCTTCATTTAGCATTTTGATTTGCTGTTGTTAAAATCAAGAGCATGACCTAGCACACTCCTACATGGTTCTCAGGATCTCCTTGACTGCTAAGAATAGCTTTACTATGACATTATTAACACCTTCCTTCCCCTTGCAATACCCTCCAATTCCCACCAGGTGTTCCATTTTTCTATCCCCACCACATGTCACTCAGAATTTAGTCATAATGGCATCTAATCTAGAAGCTCTGGTGGTGCCAACAGAATTAGCAGCAAAATCTCTTCAAATTCCTCAAATCCCTGTCATTCCTAGGGAACTTATTTCAGAGCATTCTTGCTTCCTTGGAACATTCTGCTTTATAGGCTATGGAGCAGAGAAGCATACATCTATCAAAGAGCTTAAAAACATTTTTAAAACAATCTGCTGTACCAAAAGTTGCATGGACACAAAGTTTAGCTGGGGCAAGACAGCCCTCACAATCAGTAATGTCACGGACACCATCTAACAGGTGCCCATGCAACTATAAAGCAGTAATAACAATGATGAAGGTGCTAGGCTCTGCTAGCCACTGGAAAATTACGTATAAGCAGCAAGCAACGTACAGGCTTCTCATCGCAAGGCATGTATTGTGCATTCTTAATCCCTTACTGAAAGAAGTTTGAAGGGTGTTTTCATGTTGCTATCCCTCCTGAGCCCCTTCTCTCTATGTGTGCGTGTGCTTGGTGTGTATTTTTGAGAGCAAGGAAAGTCTGGTCTTAAATTTTAAATCCCAACAGATCGGAACAAAAGCCACATCTGTTGCTGCAGATCCACTGTACTGCCACTATTTTAAAGCACTACCTTGTAGTTGGTTAATAGAATGTATAAAAAAGCAAAGAAATACAAACCCTGGGGGAAAAGCATGTAAAGAACTTTTTTCTTCTGTAAAAAAGGCTCAGTAAAGCAGTGGTTTAAACCCCTCTTGTAGAGAAGTCCTCAAGAGTGGCTGAGATGACCACAACAAAGTGCAAGAAATGCCTATATATGAGATGCAACCCAAGGAGTTCCCATTTGACCCCCATGGTTCCAAAAAACAAGTGTCTAGACTAGGGTGGGCATCGTTGGCTCTCCAGATGTTTTAGCCTACAACTGCCACCATGCCTCACCATTGGCTACGTTAGTTAGGGTAGATAGAAGTGGTAAGCCAAAACACCCAGAGGGCCACAAATGGCCTACCCTGCTCTAAACCAAGAACTAAACTAATTTTGGTGGTAGCAAATCTGTATGTTTAGAAGTGTTTGCCCCAACTATTTGGAATTGTATATGTATAACTAATTACAAAAGCAGTATTTAGTTGAGAAGTGCAAAGCTGCCCCCATCCAAGACAAATATACTGCCAACATTACAGCTCAGCCAAAGAGAAAAATACCCAGGAACATCGACTGAGGAAAGTTAAACTGCAGTCAAGGGGAATGCTGGGGCAGATCCATGCATAAACTGTCATCAGGTTAGTTTGGGCTTCAGAATTCAGGAAAGCAAAAAAAGAACAACAGGAAACAGGTCTTACACTTTCAGCTGAAGCATTCAATATTTGGCTACTGTCAGAAATAGAAAACTGGGTTAGTCAGACTTGCAAAATAGAAAACTGTTAAGAAACCAGCACCCCTTAGAGATGTTTATTTATTTAAAAGATTTGTATGACGTCCATTACTGTCGTCTCTGGACGACTTACATTATTTCAGAATAAAATAAATTAACTATTCTACACTGAGCCTCATTTAAAATATAAATAAGTCATCTCACTAAAATTATATGTTAAAATATGGGCCGAATAAAAAGGTCTTGACCTGGGAGCGCATTCCATAGTTGGGGGCGCACCGCAGAGAAGGCCCTCCTCCCCTCCTCCGAGTACTCTGTCTCCTAACCTCTTTCAAAGAGGGTTCTCGGAGGAGGGCCTCTGCTGCCAATCTTAGAGGGCGGGAGGGTATGTAGGGTAAAAGGTGTTCCTTTAGGTGTTTTTCCCATTAGAACTAAATGCTGGATGTACAAACCTTTCTTTAAGTTGCTCAATAACAAAAAAGATGTCATTCATTTGCACCTTTGCTCTAGCACTAAGATTCTCTTTCTGCAGCCCTTCCAGGTAATCTTCAATATCTGTTTGGGAGAGAAAATTGGGAGATTGAAGAGTCAGATGATACAGAGATACACAAACTCCAGATAGTTCACCAAGAAATACAGATTACATAACCTAACTTAATCAAATTAACTAAAAAGCAGGACCTCTAAAGAATACAAAAAATCACAAAATGAAATGATGATATGGCTTCAACCCCCCCCCCACAAAAAAGAGAGGATATATACTCCTGTCAAAGAGAGAGAAACAAACTTTATAGGTGGGGAGGTAGTATATTTTGAAGCACAGTCATACTTTATGAGAATTTGCAAAGACATATGAGTCCAAAAATGCAGGTGGTGAACCATTTCTAACAGTTTTCATCTTCACCAAGAGAAGGTCTTTCCTAAAGTTATTGGGCCTTAATTGGCCATTCAACACCACGTCACCACAAAATACTTTGTATTACAACAGGGACTGTTCATAACTAGTATACGTCTATTGTTGCTGTAAAAAACTATTGCCCACCCTCACTGCTACTGCAAAGCAAAGTCCAGAAAGAACAAGAAAGTCATCATTCCTGCTAATGGAAATGTCCTGGCACTTTGACCATGCGAGCCCTGTGTCTGCTAACCTGTTGGGGAGGAATTGCTTCATTGCCATAATTTATTCAAGCCTCAGATTCAAATTATCTTGATTTACTTTATTACATAAGATTCATTTTTAATACAGAATAAAAATAGCCCAGAGCACAGGAAGCAACAGACCTATCAATATAAACCTGCTTCTGCATACCAATTTAATTTTCCATATTTGGGCTCCTTACCTGGGATTCCATCACATTCTGCTCAGCATCATTATTTGCCATATGTGACATAACCCACTCCCTGGTACACATACAATTTTTCCATGTACACAGGTTTTTTTAACCTTCTATACATACATGTAAAAAGGGCAAATATGGAAAGCAGCCCTAACTTGAGTGCTACAGCAGAAAATTAACTGGTTACATTTTAATTATTTTGTATTGTGAATTTCAACAAAATAAATCCTTAACAAAACAAAGGAAAAAAGACAGGGAGAAAGGGAAATTAACTGCGTAGATTTGGATGCATCCGTTTCAATTTTATAACAAGTTTTTGAAGTTTTTTTTCCAGTCGCAGCCTTCTCCTCCCATTCCCATTCCCATTCCCATTCAAGGAATCTTGATCAGAACATCAGAAAATGAGAATGAAAGCACTACACCACATTACACTGGCTATTTTGGGAGTGTACCTTCCCCAAATTGGTGTGCTCCAAATGCACTGGACTACAACTCCCATCATGCCCAGCTGCTATCTATACTGTGTGGGCACTGTGAACATTTCAATTCAACACTTTAAAGAGTTCCAGGTCTGAGAAAACTGATGTATAGAGATTACCACCTTACCACTCAGTAAACAGTTTGCCATACATTTACTGGAATTAAGGGGCAAGCTTCCATGCATCCTTGAACTTCAGCAATTTTTGTTTTATAAGTTCATCAGTTTCTCTGATCATGTGGTAAACTCACTCAAAGCACTTGCACAAAATTGAAAATCTACACATGCTGAGTACCAGTACAATCTAGCTTCCTTATTCCTGCTCTGTTTTCTAAATGATATGATCGCTTCTGACGACACATTAGGCGGATGTGGTGGTTGACTCAAGAGCCTGTCTTTCTAGCTTGTGTAGATGGGGCCTACCTTCCCTATCAGAAGGCCTAGAGTCTCTGTGGATTGTTAAAGACGCAGCAAGTTTGATATAGGAGAGTGTGACATGCAATTAATCTCCATTCATAGCCTGCTCCACTTGTCAGGAAAGGAAGGCTCCTTCTTTAGAAGGGGATCCGAAGACTTCAATTAAAAACAGTCAGCTAACAAGAAAATAATCTAAGCTAAAGGAAAGGTGGCAGGTGCCGAAAATGAGTTGTTTACGAGAAATGTCAGCTCAGAACAATAAAGCGCTGAACATCAAAAAAAGAAAAAGAAATGTGCAATGAGCTGACTGCACCACAGACTCGAATTTTTTAAAGGAGAGGAAGCCCACACGTTCAGCTGGGGGAAGACAACCGATTTTAAGAACTGGTTTAATAGACTGAGCCAAGAATAAAGAGTCATACATTCAAGCCAAGCAGAACTAGAGGCTTAGCTTTGAAAGCTGTTTTAGTGCTTTCAGCGCTCAGTCATATGAAATAATGCTGTGAGTGCTCACTAGCATGTGCAGAGTTCTTTCTCCTCACCAAGCTATGTGTAAACACTTTGCTCTAAGGAATGTTTGCTACTTCCAAATCAGGACACATCCATTTAATAGCTCTAGGAAGAGAGTTTAACTTGCTAAATTTCTGTATACCCAAAGGCTGTTAAAGGAAAAAGACAGAAGCAGATCCAATAAAGAAGAAAAATATAAGACAATTAAATGAAGGAAAGAGTCAAACACAGTATAGCAACAGTACACAACATACTGGGCCAGGATGTATTTAATTTCCAAACATAAGTGGTGAAGTCCAACCCTGCTTGGACACCCTGCCTTCTCAATTTCAATTGTACATGGATATAGAAAAGTACTCTATGCATGCTCAAAAGTACTTTTATAACTGCACTTGTTCTACAGCTACATTTTGACATTAAAAACAAATTTGGGAAGATATTCCTAGCTTAAAATTATGCTCTGGGGTCAAAAGAGACTTTGTTGAAGAAATGGCTAAGGGGCACCCCATTATCAAATATATTTATCACACATCAGAAATGTTTTAAATTGAGGCTGGGGACAAGGACAAGTTCACCAACCTTCCCCTTCTAAGATCCCTTGCTCCTGGTGTTGAACAGGTTGCCAGCTCCAGAAAAGGTTTTGTCCCCTACTTCCCACCCCAGAACCTTTCATCCAAACCACTTGCATATATATGCCACAGAGCATGCATATTCTATACATCACGATTAATTAATATATGGATTGCTCCTTGCTGCTGCCTCCACATTTGTAAAAACTGTTAATAAAAAAATAGCATCTGTAGCAAGATTGAGCATTCTAAGGATAAAATTTAGCGTATGATGTTGACAATCTGCAGTGCTACAGAAATCATGTTTAAGTGCATTTTATGTTTTCACCATGCTGCTCACTATTGCTCACTAGGAAGGCAGGTAAAGTGCCCCCCCCCCAGTTCCACTTATATTCGTCCACCCCTGCTGAACACAGATATACTGTCAGGGTGTCTGACAATAGCAGGCATGAGAATAAATACTCGGATCCATAGGGAAGACCCAGTTTTCTTGAACCTCAGCAGTTTTATTGGCAAGACAGCCCAGCCCCCTTCTGCAGAGAACCAAACTTACATCAGCACTGCTGGGTAGAGGTTGCACCCAACCAACTACAATTTTCCAGAACATGTACAAAGTGCTTTATAACTTCCCAGTCACATATGCAGGTGCAGAGCAGTTGATGAAGGAATAATAGTAACATGATGTATTCATACATAGGACAATACAAGTGGTTTGCTGGGTGTAAATGGAACAATGGCATAGCGAGTATTCGTGATTACTGTATACTGTATTGACATGACAATTAGTGAATCTCTTGAACTCATTGACCAGCCTACAGCGTCTGTTTGAAGAAGTAAATGAGAGCAGCAGCAGTGATATGGCTTCAAAACTTGACTACTTCAGGGAAGGGACTGAGAGGGGATTGCAACATTGTCACCATCTTCTAGCACTTTCAATTAAAGGCACACTCCCTGCCTTCCTAACTGACTTAACTCACTACATTTAATAACAGTTTCGCATACCAGTAATTAGAATGTTAGGCTGTATTTGGAGCCTCCTGCTGAATGAAGGCAGAAATCTATCGCAGATACAGCTAAGTCAGGGCAGCTCCTTCTTCCGATATGCAAGGGAGGCTACCTCTAGCAGTTTCTGGGCTTCTCCAAGATGGAAGCCAGGCACTGTAATGAATGCTACATAAAATACATAGGACAGTGCTATCTTTTCCAATACGCTTTATTTGGATTTCTCCAACAATATCATACCTCAAGGTAATTCCAATTGGTTGAGGCAGTAGTACTTTATTTTGTCCTCACCACAACACTTAAACTCTCTCTCTCACACACACAAAACTGCCACCACAGTGCTTTACTTTTTCCTCATATGAAGTAATGAATGTGGACTATGAAGGAGGGGAAGAAAATACAAAGCCACCCTCTGCTTGTGACCCCAGTGTCTACAGATAATGGTCAGGTTTCACCACCTCTCAGCAGCTAGGTTTTAGCAAGCAGCCTGTTTACAAGGCCAAGTCGAGAGCGCACGGGGTGTTGTGCAAATCCATACTTGGTTGGTGGGCTGCATGAGGGCTTTTTAACCCTTCCGCAACCAACAGTCTGTGGGTTCACACAGGACAAACCACAGCCAGGCCCTGGATATGCAAATCCCATCCAGCACACACTACAGCACACTGTGGCTTAAATAACCCATGGTGGACTATTTTGATTATGAAAAACAGGTCATTTTGTTTTCTGAGGCAGAGCAGCAAAAGGTATTCCCCCTCTCCAAGTCAAGATACTTAGTACTCAAGATTAGTCAAGACACTAGCATTTGAAGCAGAAAATTCTGGGAGTTTTCTTTTTCTATCTCTCACAGCAAAAATTTAATAGTGAACTATGTAAAAATTTGCCACATTCACTTAGTTCCACAGAGTTCAATGAGAGCTACTAAGGATTGATCAAGCCCACATTTGCATAGAAAGGCATGGGTTCTACTTCTTGTTGCAATGCTAGGATGTGATGAAACTGCATACTTAGATGCGATACAGGAATATAGCAATGACCTCTTTTATTTAAGCTGATTTTACTGGACCTGTGAACCCTCTGAAGAATTTTTAAAGGTACTGTAGAGTAGATATCTCTACTCAGAAGTAAAAGTTCAGTGGGATTACTCTGACTGTAGCCCTAATCGATACAAGTTCAGGCGCAATCTTATACATGTTAGGAAGAGAAAAAAACATGATCTACTGTGGAATGTTGGTAGTTGTAGGACTTTTGTTCTGTTAGACATGCATAAGATTGCATGCTAAGGCTTTAGTCAGTGATGACTGACTTTGAATTGAATAGTAAATGTTAGCAAGTAGGACTGAAAGTAAAAGACTTTCTTGTTTATCTTTTGAGTTTATTTTGCTTTTAATGTGCTACCATAGGAAATAAAATATTCCAGATTTGCGTTTTCTTCTTATAATGCATTGTGACCTATGTATTATTTATTTATTCACATATTTATATACTGCCTATAACTGCCAAAGGCCTTCATAGGTGGCTTACAAGAAACTGTAAGAAACTTAAGAAACTGTAGTTTCTTACAGTTTCTTGTAACATTTTTTAAGCAATAAAGGAATGTAACCCCTTTTGTTTAAACTGATTAGTCCATTAAAAGGCAGATAGAAAATTGGCTTTTGAAAAATGCATCATTCAAGTGCCCTAATTTAAATAGATGTTCACACCTTTTAATGGCTACACTGAGGCACACACTGAGGTTAGGCGTATAATTATAAATAAGCAAATAAACCAAGCTTACTGGAGCACTGAAGTAAAAGGTGGTACAACAAATATTTGAAGGCTATGTTAGCCTTGTATCTTACTTTACAGAAGACAAGCCCTGTTTTTGAAAGCATCTTCTAATTGAAAGGCTGATCAATCTAAGCCCACTTGAAAGATAAAGCATAAGAAGGGGAGAGGGGCCTTGAAGTTGCTGATCCACAATGAGCACACGACAGCAGATAGAACTGCTGTCGTGTGCACGCAGGTCATTTATCAGTATAGTGAGATGAACAGTACATCTAAATTATATTTTTAAATTTCCTCTTTTTTGGCAGGAGATGCTAAGAGGCTACCTTAGAGACAACCTTGCTCTGGAGTGGGTCCTGTTGAACTTTGGAGACCCATTGCTGAGCAAGCATACAGGTTGGGACTGTCGGCTGAATTAATTAGACAGACATAAGGCTATCTTAGACCCACATTTTAAGACAACACCCAGTCTTGTATCTAAAGATATCCCTCACTCAAAGATGAGTGGATGGCATGGAGAGGATTCCTGCTGCTAGCATGGCGTGCCTCTTCACCCGTTAAGTCCCACTCTATCATTTAAGCCCACTGAGTTACAGGCTTAAATGATAAGCTTCTACTGCATTATTAGAAATTGGCCTTCAAGTTGAATATGGCCTTAATAACGGGGACAAAATTAAGTGCTTATATATAATCAGAAACATGATTAAACAAAAATAGAGCGAGAAGAGGCTAGAGTGTCAGGATTTTCTTGTAGTAGTACTACAGTTGCCATCTTTTTCTTTTCCCCTCACAGAGCACAAAAGCGTAGGCGAGAGGCCTAGCTATTCAAAAGGGTCTTGTAGTTACCTCCAAAGAGCTTCTGGACATCCTCTGGAAGGGTACCCCTGTCTGCAGCTTGCATTGAGGAAGATGCCAGGTTTAGGAAAACTAGCAAGCAAACTATCTGCTGCAGTTGTTTCTCTTGTTGCTACCATCTGCCTCTGAAGAAGAAAGGAAACAACCAAGGTAGAGCAGGCGGGGGAAGGGCTGGTTATATTTTTGAAAAACCACTACCGCACAAGGTCTTTCGTTTGGCTCTAAGTCCCAGCTTCTGTGGTACAAGTGTGAAGCCTGCCCTGAACAGACACCTGTGAGGGAGGCAACGGCTACAGCTGCAACTAGTCAGCTGTTTTCTGGAGAGGATTTGGCTCCTGTCTCTAGGAAAAGTAGCCAAGTAGCAGTCCAAAGCAATAGATTGAAGTCTAGGGCCCCTAGCCTGGGGGGTGTCCCCTAAGTGAACATCCAGAGCAGCAGTCATTCCTGTAGTCATGATGATGCTATCATTAAATTGACTTTAACATATAGAACTGGTCAGAGAGAGATGTTCATTTTTTAATCAAGCTGAAATGGCTGTGACTCCAACAGGAACCAGAAGCAGTTTTAACACCAAGGATATAACATGCATAGAATCATATTGTCAGAAAGGTGAGATTTCTTTATAAACAAAAAATACACCTCCAGATTATATTGTGAATATTACTAATTTCAGCTCATAATGCCAGAAAATCGCAAAGTTTAATCAAGGGGGAGTCCATTGTTCAAGCATCTTTCTGCAACCCAAACCTAGTTTATTTATTGCCTTTATATTCCAGATTTTTTCCATCCAAGGAGGCCACATGTGTTTCTTAGGTGGTGTCCCCTCTGAGCACTGACTGGACCCAGACCTGCTTAGCTTTAGCATAACTGCTACTCCTTGTGCTGCCTTTAATTCAGATTTCTCAACCCACAGAAATCCAAGATTTATGCTGCAATCATATACTCACATATCTGGAAAGAAGTTCTATTGAACTCAACTGGGCAAACCTCAATGTAGGAATACATACGATTACATTGTTAGCCAGTGCATTACTAGGACTATCACCATACAAATACATGATAAACATTTAAGCAGTCAGATCATTTTAGATTTTGAATTTAAGGAACTGAAGTATCATTCCTTTTTAAACGGTAATGTGTATTACTTAACTGAGCATGCAATCCTATATATGTTTAGACAGAAAAGGCTGTACAAGTCCCAGCATGTGTCAGCCAACCAGCCATGTTGGCTTGGGGATGTTGGAACTTGTAGGACTTTTTATTTTCTGTTGAAACATGAAGGCTGGAATCCTAAACATATATACTATTATTGCTATTTATTTCATTTCTGTACCACTGCATAGCCAAAGCTGTCTGGGAAGTTCAAAGCAGTTCATCATACAGATACAATAATAAAGAAGACCCATGCCTTCCTAGGCAATGGCACTCAGAGGAAGGCCTCAGATGATGATGATAGTGATGATGATGATTATATTACATTTATATCCCACCTTTCTTCCTCTTGCAAGGAACTCAAGGCAATTCACAAGATTCTCCTCTGCAGGAATGTAGTGCTTGGGTTGATGCAGGTTGGGAGAGGGGTTCCATCAGGCAAGGGAGCCCCACTGATTTCCTCTGAGTAGCCATCCATAGGCTTGCCTGCATAAAATGATGTGCGCATTCGCTGCTGCATCAGGAGGCCCTCAAGCTCACTCTGTTGAGTGGAGTCCTAGATTCCTGCCCCACAGATGCACCCCCTCAGCACTACTGTTGTAACCTACTGCTGCCATAGCATAAGGGAAGACTAGCAGTCTAGTCCTAAGGAAGTTTGTTCGTGCATCTCTAATAGGAAATATATCCCATTCAACCTAGATGGACTTAATTTCCAAGTCAACCTGGATAGAATAGCACTCCACATTTCAAAGAGGAAAGGCTCAGTATTATGTAAAATGTGAGAACCTTGCACATAGGAGGACTGAGGACTTAAATGTATGTTTTGGAAGCGGGCATGAAATGCTACAGTGAGCCAAGTCCAGGATGCATTCTTTGAACTTTAAGTTAAGAATAGGAAAAAGGATGTGGTATGTTTGACAGACTGCAAGATTAATTGCTGGATGGTTCTGGTAAAGCGAATGCAACATCTCTTCGTAAAAATTGTTGCCCCTGGACAATTCAGTCCCAACTTCCAGACTGAAACCTGCAAACACAGCCCTGTGTTCATTTTCAAAGTTCTGGCTCATGCAAACTAAAGAAAACATGTATTCACAGGTATGGGATACATTTCTTTTGTCACTGGGGAATACTAGAGCAACCTATATGCCAGGGTTCGGCAACACATGGGCCCCATGCAGCCACCACTGCCTCCAAGTGTGACTACACACCACTGAAATTTATTGTGGAAAAATACTTGTGGTTGGTTTCCATGCTAAATTTGGCTGTGTGAGCATTCTGTAACAATCTGCCACAGTAAATCAGCTGCAAATCACCAGGTTTTTTTGTGACCACTAAATTAAGGAATGTGGTGGCAATAGGAATGTAGCCCATGAGGGGGGCACAAATGGCTATTGGACCTTCCAAAGTTGCCCACCCCTGCAATTTATTTTGGAGTGTGTCTCATTTGATTTAAAGGGACTTGGTTCTGACTAGACATGTACAGGACTGTGCTATAAAACACTATATAGTCTGTATACAGCCTGTGATCTGTTCTGTAAATGTCAAATTAGTTGTTGAGAAGTAAAGAATGAGATTGTGCCTGAGGATAGTGGATATGTTCTGCTATATAAACAAAGATTAGCATGAAATAGAGGACATTATAGGGTCAGCTGGCTGAGCAAATGCCTTTGAATGTCTCCCCATGTAAAGTTAAGCAAAAACAGCAAATGCTTACACCCCAATTTTCCACATTATGAGAAATTCAAGATATCGTTACCCAGGTTTGCTTTCCTTTGAAACAATGTCATGGGAGGCTTACTGGCATTTCATAATAATTGAATTTATTCATAAATATATGGGCTGAACATTAAACTCTCCAACATACAGCTAAATCCCACTTCTCCCACATCCGATTTATAGGGAAATAGCAAGCCACCCCAAAATGATTCCCAGTCCCAAAAACTGTTCTCCATCTGCCTCAAACTGCCCTTTTGTTTAGTTTTACACAGACACCTGGATTAGAATATCAGCTAAAGCATATGAAGAGAGAGAAACGCTGATTCCCAAATGACTGTTACCCATCTGGAAGTGTCTTTAAATATCCCAGTTGCTGTGGGCCAGCTGTTGAGAGCCCCAATGGGTTTCTCCCCTGGCATGCCAACCCAATGACACATGACAAGGCAGTAAGAGTAGAAAAGATTTATTCTGCAAAAGAAAGGTGCCCTGTACCTCATGGTTGCAGAGAATCCCATTCATACCTTTCACGTCACTTACATACCTTTCTACACAAAGGATTTCCGAAGCTCTACTTTGGTTGGCTATATTGTGCCACAATGCAGTTCTTAATACACCTGTTTGCACTACTTCTACTACTACATACGCAACACTTGGAGTTTCTGATTACCTCAGCTTCCCTTATCACTTTGTACCTGTCCTGCACTCCTGAAACTTATGGTTGCCTAGGCCAGTCCAGAAACCATTCTTTGTCTCCTTCGTCATCATTCCATTTCCCTAACAAAGAAAAGGTACTTGGCAAATTCGGCAGGACAATCTCCAGTTTCATGAAAATTGTCCTTTTTTGATAACAGGAATAATACCACAGGCTTCCAAGCACTAGGGGGTGCTAAAGAACACGTTGTATCAATGGCTGCTTGTCTTGCTCATTCTCCTTGTTGTCCTGTAACTGGATTGGTGTCTGCCTTCTACTTCCTCCTCTTCCTCTTTGCTTCTGCAACAGGCCACATGTGCTCTCTCCAGATGGAATTGAGTTAATATTATCTCATGCCATTGCTTGCCCATTCAGTTTCAGGGGGTGCTTGTATTAAACAGTGTTAGATTTTTTTTACAAAGATGTGTATTCAAGTATTAATAAAGTAAGTTGATGCAAACTTCTAAACTGGTTCTAGTCTGCATTTGTTCCCTCCAGTACTGAATGCTGTGTTACCACATGTTCTCTATAAACATCAGTGCTATAGTAATTTACACTGAATTTTCCAACTGTCCTGTCCAACTTTATACTGGTTTATTTATATTTATATCTGATACTTACATGTCACTTTTCAGGTCAAAGCTCTCCCAAGCAGTAGTGTAGCTAGGACTGGTCCTTGAGACCAAAGTCCAGGGCACTAGTACCCTTCCTCACACCAAATGACCACCCAGAGAGTGGAAGATGAGGAGGGTATCAAGGCAACAGAAGCAAACCCATCTTATTCTTGTAGTTGTGATTTTGAGTGCTACAATTTAAATGAGACTAAAATGCAAAACTATGCAGGTTTAGATGGTTTTTATTACTGTTCTAATAGAAACAGCTATAAAGCATGGAATGGTAGATGAGAGGTGAAGAGAAATACTGGTTGTGTGCTTTACAACTTAAGTAACACAAGTGACATCTAAAATGAAGTCACATAAACCCATTAAGGCCAAGGTCTAAAATTACCTAGACACACCACTGCTCCCAGGAGATTCACTGGCATGATTAAAATATAAGTACACATGTCATGGCTTTCCCCAAAGAACTATAACATCAGAAAGATGTTAAGAGCTCTGTGGTACAAATCCTTAGCACTTCCTAACTTATGTAACTACCATTTCCAAAGTTCCTTGGGAAGAACGAATTAGGATTAAAGTATTCTTCAATGAGATGCTAAGTAATGTTGGACAAGCTTTATGAAATAGATCTTGCTACTTGCTACCAGTTTTCCCCTACATTCTGGGTGACAGGCTCAACAGGCCTGTGAGTAGCACTCCATTGGAATGGACCATGTACATCCTAGAATATGCTTGTGGATCCTTAACAACACACAGGAGCTTTCACCATACACACAAGTGTTTCCTATGGACAGGTATGTGATTTTCAGGGGCCCAAGAAAATCAGAGAAAATGTTCAGGATATATCATAATTTTATTAAAATTATTTTAGGAGAACCGTGTCTTTAGAGTGAAGCATGTTAGAATCATTAATAGATGCTGAACAGGCTCTGTCTTA